ACGGGCATTATGGGGCCGCAGATCTGGGCAACCAGCGTGTACGACATCATCGGGGTTGTTCCGCACAGCGTGGCTGCGCGGCTGCCAGCGCTGACGCTTGCGCACATGGTGGTGGTTGGCATGGGCGTGGGGCTCATCCCCACGGTGTACGCCAGCTTCAGCAACATTGCGCGGGCATGCAGGGAGCAAGGGAAGAGTGTGGCGAGCGCCTACGCCGATGCCGTTCCGTTTGTCGCGTCGATCGGAAGTGTCAGTGTGTGGCTGCTGGCGTCGCCGCTGATCCTACGCGAGCACCTGGTGGTGTTCCTCGTATTTGTAGGCTTTGCGTTCTCGTACATCGTTGGCCGCGTCATTGTGGCGCATGTCACGGGGGCGCCATTCCCCAAGCTCAACCGCATGCACGTGCCCATCTTCTTTGGAACAGCCAATGCCGTGGCGCCGTGGTTCGGCTTTGCAAAGCCCTTTGACGCGCACAACGAGCTGCTTCTCGTCTGGCTGTGCCTTGCGTACACCGCCATCCAGTACGCGCACTTTGCGCTTGAGGTCATCGACACCATTTGCACATACCTGAACATCAACTGCCTGACCATCAAGCAGAAAACCACCTAGGTTTCAATTAGTTTCAATGCTTTGTTTATGATATGAAAGTCAATGTAAAAGGCTTATTTTGTTTCCAAGCGTGTCCCCCTTTCCCAATTCAGGAAGAGACAGCCTTTACCTCCACGCCAGCCTTTGTCAGGGCATTGGTGAGGTCGTTGATTAGGTCATCGGGATGCTCGATGCCCACACACAGTCTGATTAGGTCCTCTGGAAGACGGCGCTGCTTGCGGACCTCTGCGGGGATCGACGAATGCGACATCTTGCACGGCATCGAGATGATCGAGTTGACACAGCCAAAGCTGACCGAGATGCCCCACAGCTTGGTGCTCTCGACGATGCGCTCAGACATCGCCACGTCGCCTGTTTCGAAGCTCAGCACGGCGCCAGGGCCCGAAGACATCGACCTATGTAGCTCGTACTGCGGGTTTGACCTGAGCCCCGGATAATGGACCCTGAACCCCTGGGCTTCCAGGAAGGCGGCAATCAGGATCGCGTTCCCTTGCTGCTTCTCCATGCGGATTCCCAGCGTCTTGACGCCACGCAGAAGCAGCCAGCAGTCAAAGGGCCCGAGCCCCGAGCCACTGGCGTTGATAACAAAGAACACTTGGTCGGCCACGGCCGCCTCCTTGCACCCAATGACGCCAGCCATCAGATCGTGGTGGCCCGAAAGATACTTTGTGCCCGAGTGGTACTCGATGTCGGCACCCAGGTCCAGCGTGTTCTGCAAGTACGGCGACATCATTGTGTTGTCCACCACAACCAGGGCATTCGGGCATGTCGAGTGCACCGACGCGGCGATTGCGCGGATATCGGCGATCTTGATCAGCGGGTTGGTCGGCGACTCGAGCAGCACGATACGCGTTTTGACCGCGTCCAGCCGCGCCGCCACCGCCGCCGCGCTAGTAGTGTCGACGTTGTGCACCTTGACGCCGTTGAATTGCGACACATACGTCAGCAGCCGGTTGGTTCCGCCATACAGGTCGTCGCCTGCGATGATCTCCTGCCCGCTCTTCACAAGCCGCAAGATCACGTCTAGCGCCGTCATCCCCGTCGATACAACGAAGGCGCGGTGCGCTTTCATCACCTTTGCCATGTGCACCTCAACCGCTGTCCGCGTAGGATTGCCTGATCGCGTGTAGTCGTATTCGCCGCCGCTTCCGTCTGCATTCTCTTGCTTGAACGTCGCCGTCTGGTAGATCGGCACTGACGCCGCGTTGTAGTTGTCCTTGACTGCTTCCCTGTCAATGTACACCAACTCTGTTGCCAGGTGGTATCCTGTTCCTGTACTTGAGTTTGCCATGTTTTGTTGCTACTGTTGTTGTGAATCCTTTCTACAAGGTGCGCGGAAGAAAAAAAATAAAAGTGGAAAGCAAAATGTTTTTTATATTCACAAGGGAAAAGAAAAAAAGAGGTGGAAAGCAAAAATTACCTTCCCCGTCTTTTTATTCCTCCCCCTCTGACAAGTACCAAGTTGTGTCATCAAATTTTTCACTTCCTCATTCCGACAGCCTAAGCCAATCACATCCCATGCTAACAGCCAGGGTACCAAAAGCACACTTCCAAGAATGGACGAAAAGGTGGCAAATCTTTCCCAATCATCGATGACGCGATCCATCTGTACTCTTGCAAAAAAAAAAAACAGAATTGTCTTCCTTCCCCATCTACTTTGCTGACTGGAAGGAGCTCGTATTTTTATCCATACGTCCGCTACCTCACGCAGCAAATAAACAAATAATATGCATTCCGCACAGCCCTCCTCTCTCTTTCTTTACACATGTATCAACGTGTCGTCATCTGTGCAAGCATTTCAGAAGACTCTAAAAAAAAGCCAGGTATCTTTTTGCCCTCACTTTTTTTTACGGCGCAGTGCGTTAGCGCAGGTATATTTGGATAACCCTAACAAAACAAATTAAAACGAGAAATCCCTGCCGTGGAAATCTGGGTGAGCCCCTAAAGTTATGAGGCTACATTGCTGTTTAGGCTGATGGGAGGAAAGGGAGGGAGAATGGTGGAAGGGCTATTGGCAGTGCCAAATCCCAATCGGCCTGAATGTGAGTGACTAAAGTAATTGAGGCAGCTGTCAGCAATGGGCGAGTTGCAGAATGAAAGAGCCCCGCTAGCTCATCCCCGCCTGGATCAAAATGGAACCACCGGTTCGACATCTTTAACAAGCGATCGTGAAAGGGTTGGGCTGGCTTTTTTTTCCCCGAGTAAAGAAGTATTTGAAATCATGTAGAATGCACAAGGGTTACCATCGATTTCCAGTGAATGCGCATTTCATCACCAGTGTGATGCCCATAAATATTTGCAAAAAAAATTTAAGCATTTTATAAAGAGAATCTTTGCATCCGTTATTTTCTCAACTCCCCATTTTCAAAAATTAAAAGGCGGTGAAAATGCTTCTTGCCTTCTTAGCTCAATGGTAGAGCGTGTGGCTTTTAACCTCAAGGTTGTGGGTTCGAGCCCCACAGAAGGCGTTTTGGCCATTTTTTTACTCCCCTTTTTTCTCGCCTTTTGCAAAGTCCAAGGATTTTCTCTTTGAGCTGGGGTGGACGAAAAAAAAAGAAAAAAAAATAAGTGGCTCCAATACCGCCCTGTAATTGGCTATCCATCCTCCCCTCAACACAGCATTTTTTATTTTATTTTATTTTTTGCTCCAGTGCAATCAAACCATAAATGAAAAGAGCCATGCCAGCGTTCGACTACTTGGCAATCGAGCTCACCGCTGTACGCAAGTGGAATGTGCGGGTTTTCTTATGAACTAAACCTCCAATGATGAGTGCTGCTTGCAGATTCCAGGCGTGTTACGCTTTTCTTTTGTTTCTTGGTTCTTTTTGAGGATCAAGCGACAAGAAGGGCAGTTACTTTTGCTGATGATAATCTTGGACGAGCTGGGGGCCCAACCCACCATACCAAAAGTTTGC